TGGAAGCATTGTGATGGCAGTGCATTGAAACCGCGTAAAACGTGTTTTTTCTGTTGTTAAAAACGGGACTAAACCTTAGGCGGGGGTGGAGAGACTCCAAGGTGCGTCAGCCATTTTCATTTTTCCTGAAGCTAACACCCTTCTTCGGCTTAGCCTTGAGAGGTGCCCCCGTATATTGCGATAGCGCCGAACTTTTCTCCTGTGAAGCGCTTGTTTTGTCGCTTCTGTACACCGTCGCCCAGAGCCTCTACCCGTACGCTGTTCTTCACATTTGATAGGGTCTTGTTTATCCTTCACTGGAATTTCACTTCGTTGCAGTTGTTGCAAAAATGGGAGCTAAATGCAGTCAAACGATTTACTCAATAGTTATTTCTCAGACTTCAAAGTACGGAGAATTCTTGGGCTCATTGAGAAAACGAGACAATTTCGAGTAAAGTGGATGTGAGCCGCTTTTCAGGGCCGTCGTACACAAAGCGCTGTTGCATCATTGCAAATGGTACCGGATGGACAAGCCGAGCACACGGCAGCCACATTGTAGATATACTCGCCGACGTCGTTCCCTCTGAAAGTAGCACTTTTTTGATGGATCCGGGAATACCGGTCGAAAAGGATACAGGCATTGCTCACCCAGGTCCATATTGGCAGACCGCGAAATAGAAAGTACCTGCAACGTTGAATTGCGCATCCGAGACGTACATTGTCGTGCCAGGCCATCTTTTAAGAAAAAATTCATTATGAAGCCGTCATTTTTTCGGTGCTCCATAAACCTACTGAGGTCTAACACCGGTAAAAACAATGGTCTACAGGTTCCACATACCAAAATTCACCAGCACTTCCTAAGAAGGGGTGGAGTAACTGCGCCACCGCGCTGAAGATCTAGGAAAAGCGGCGGAGCAACCGCGAATGCTTGTTGAGACTAAGGTGTCCTACTTATGTGACGCGACAGGAGGCCCGTCGCGAGGTTAGAAGGCAGGGGCGCAAACGGATCAGCGACGGGTCGCAGCGCGCACTCTGCGACGGCTAATGTACTATAGCAGATTCCATAACTTCACGCTATCTCGCTACAGTACGCGCTGCAACTCGTCCGTTGACCTGTCTGCGTCTCTGCCTTATGGCTGCGCGACAGCGTCCTATCGGGTGCCCCTACTAATGGAGCACCGCCTTTAGCGCAGCGAAGAGATTAATTCCTAAATTTTTGTGTGCCAACGGGAAGACACGCATGAGCCGATCGCAGTCAAATGTGAGACCAGTTGCCTCTCCACAAAACGATACCCTTGACCTTTCATGTCGAAAAACAAATCGATCGCTTTGCGACCGCTCGCTTTAGTGTCACATGAGTTGCACAGCACATTTTGTTAACGGAATCTTCCTTAGCGTACCTTGGACCAGTGGGTAACAATGTTGGTTGTCCGATAACGAGTTGCGGAGTCGAACAGCATATCCGATCGAATACCTGATCGTGCCAATTCAGACCACCAGATTGTCATTGCCTGAATTGTCTCATGTTTGGGAAAACTCAGCTTCTCCGAAGCGCTGTTTACGCTGGGCCGGCTCGTGACCGTATGGGCGGAGCCGCCGTAGCGGTGTGCCCTTCTGTAATGGTGAGCCACTTCCTCTGAATAGGAAAAAAGGGGTGACCCACCAATGAAAAATCATCGCTACAAGTGACTCAGCAGAGCGATTAGCGTAGACTATGCCCCGAAAAACAAGGCAGCATTACTGCTTTCCGCATTTTTGCGAGCATGAGATGTTTTGATCTTTTATGCATACCCCACGCAAGGAAGGAAAGCTATATTCAGAAGTGAAAGCTCCAATCCCCACCTGATCCGCGGCCGCATTTTCGTCGAGATTCAAGTTGTTGATCGTTTGAATGTTCTCTCTCGTTCCCGGACGAGATTCTGGTAACGAAAGCTCACCATCGCAAGTTCGAGCGTGACGAATCGCCGACGCTTCGAGTGTACAGTCGTATACCTATGAAAACAAGTTTCTGGCTTTTCTAGCGTCCTTTTGAGATTTCTCCAAAAGTTAGCGCCGATAGGAATTGTTTGTAGAATTTTTTGAATTCTGCCCCCCTATTTGTGAGGGAGAATCTGAAAACACTGCTAGGAAACCGCACTGAAGATCCTTGATTTTGCTGCAGGATGCGGATGTGGGAAAGGAAATGGCGGAGGTGCAGCAGTGGCTAGTAGCGCCGCAACTGCGTATGACTCGAATTTGGGTGCTACCCATGTCAGAAAGAGGGTTCGTCTCTTATTGACTTGATCCACCTTTCTTGTGTAACAACGAAGGTCATGAAAGCTCATTTTTATCATAGCTGACCAACCATGGCTTCCATGTTGCTGGCCGGTGGCGCTGGTCCACTGGGTCCATTTCGCTGAGCGCCAGTTCCTTTAGCGAGGCTCGATCTGGAGCGATTTCATTTCTTTGCGTTTTGAAGTACATGTAAATTATCAGGGTGCGTGTCAACAGAATCGTCCGAAGACCCGCGCTAGTGGTCGTGGTCGCGACGTCGCGATGGCGGTGGACGAGTTTCTGTAAGCGTCATTCGATTGCGACTGTTAAAGGCTCACTATACAATCATCAAATAGAGAGATCGGAAAACCTTTACGAAAACCAGATCCTCTGTGCATAAAGGTTGGAAAAAAGTTTGTACGTTTTTCTCAGAGTTGACAACAGTAATTCGCGGAGATTTTGGTGTCATTCTAAAACGCGTACTTTAATTCAAACGTGACACGCCCTCTTTGTTTTTAGACCCCTTTGCGAACAATGTTATCATGAAATCCGATTTGAATAGTGTCTAATACCGCTATATAGCACGGCAACTAATAAATAACTCAAACACATTG